GGGGGTGGAGAGGGGGGTCCGTCCGGCTTGTCGCCGCCTGCGGGGCGGTGGGCTCTTCCCGGCCCCCAAAATGGTGGGTGCCGCTTATGCTCCACCCCCGGGAGCGCTTTGTTTTTGTTTGTTTTCCGGGCATGGCGGCGCGGCTGGGGAGGAAAGGCCGCCCCGCACCGGCGGATGGGCGGGCGGCGAGGGCCCGGCCAGCGGTAGCGGGGCTGCGGCCCCGCGGCTGGGAGCCCCCGTGGCGCCCCGGTGGTGGTGCTGGGCTGTGTGAGGCCGAGGGTCGTGGGGGTCACCCCCGGGCTGGTGCTCCGGGAGGAGACGGGGTTCCTCCGGCGCTTGTCGCTGGCGTCCCGTGGGTTTGGGGCTGTAGGGCCGGGGGACGGACCCCCGGTGTGGGGCAGAGGCAGCAACAGGCACTTCTTGTGTTGCTCCTTGTGCTTCTGAAGGTAGCCCTTCAGGCTCCTGATGTCATAAACAGATGCTAAGGTAAAACATATATTTAGCTCCTTTTTTTTTTCTTCATAAAAAATGTGTTCTCACTTGGATAGAAGTACAGGTAAATGGGGTTTTCAGGAGAGCGAGTGCCCCTCTTGCACGGCGTTGCCGTGTTAGCGCAGACCCACACAGAGGGGAACAGGACTCAGCTTTTTTTCCATTGCAGGATGATTTTTTTAAATGTTCTTTCTGGCCTTGTCGTCTGTGACCCTTCCTCAAAATCTCTCCCTGGCCTTCAGATTCAAACCATGGAAAATATTTTAAAATCCACTTCTGTTACAGTATTTTTTAAGGTGAAGCAAATTTGGTGCAGACGAGGACAGGTATAAAGTATCATTTGTAATGCAGTACAGCAATGGGCCGTGTTTATCACAGGCTTCTCTGTTGATCCAGGTCAGTCCTGGTTTGCACTGGAGCTTCCATCTTAGGTCAAAGTATCTACAAACCAGTTGTCCACAGCGATGTATTTGGCTCTACAACCTTTACTTAAGCATTTGAGAGGTCCTGTGGTGGGCCTCTCAGCCTGGGAACAGACTTTTTGCTGATTATCCACGCGAGTTCATTCTTGGAGATTTCACTTTATTACTATTTAGGAGTTTTGTTCAGCTGCTTATCAATGGATAACCTAAACACCCCCAGTGTAAAATCTGTAGCAACAGAAAAGTTATTACTGAGCATTTATGGGGTTCAAACACAGTTTTAGCCTTCACTAAGAAACTGAGAATAAAAATGGTGCGTAAATTGTGAGCGTTGCTGGTGATGGAGAGGTTTTGCAATGGGCTGCTGTAAACAATAATGAGTACTGTACATGACTTGGTCATTTGGGTGTTTATCCTATGAGTATGTTGGCTTTTAGGAGGAGAATTAGGCAAGCAATCGTTGGAGAGCATCCAGTGAACCACCACCTCACCCAGTCATGATTTCAAGGTTAAGGCAATGTCAGAGCTGGCTGCTGTGAGAACCTGGTGGTGAGACTCCAGCTCTCTTACTGGTATTTTCAGTTGTGCAGTGGCAACATCAGGAACAAGATTACGGGCAGTTAGAAAGACTTCCTTATTCAGCTGTCATTTCATGGTTTGTTCTCTCTGTGGAGCTTCAGCCTGGGTTGTTGGTGTAGGCCTGTAGACCACAGGTACGTGCCACAGCGTGCCTTGCAGTCGAGGTCCTGTACGCTGTGGAGGTCCTGTGGGGGCACGTGGGGCCTTCCCGCTGGCTGGCATGCCAAGGTTTCCTTTCTTTGGAAACCAGTGTGCAAATGTAGGCCTCTGGTTTCATCTGATACGCAATCAGGATACAGCTGGGACACACTCAGGGGTCCCACAGTGTAGAAGTTACCTTCATTTACTTATTATTTACCAGAAGCAATAACTGCTAAAGCTTTCCTGTTAGTAGGTATGAGATGCTCCCGATCTGGGCTACGTTTCAAAGGTGGAGACTTGTCAAATGCCAGAAGAGCTCTGCTTTTTAGGGTGGACCCACACGGATTCTGCACCTGTGAGAACTATGAGCAAGGATGAGCTATTAGCAGTCATTACTGGGTTCTTCAAAGTAGGAATGGTTTAAGCCGCTGGTTTTCTAGGCCATTCGCTCCTGTAACGGCCAGGTAGGCCGTTAACGGCTTTGCACCACCAGCTCAGCCGTTGTACAGTGGTCCAGGAGATGGAGAATGAAAAAATTCTTGTATTCACAAATGTTGTCTTTTAATATCCCTGTGTATGCTGTGGTGGGGCTGTGAGGATAATCCTTTTGCTACTACATTTCTTGGGGACAAGAAAGCAGTGGAAGAGCTTTTCAAGTTGATGTTGGTTGTCCTTATTGCTCAGTAACTATTTGATGGGACTCTTTTTCTAGAGAATGTGTGAACTGTTTTCGTTGTTTCTCAGTGTTAAGTTACAGAAAATTGAACAGACCTGTCAGGCTTCACTCTACCTGCTTTCTGTAGATAATATTTTTATGTACAGAGGCTGCTTAGAAGGGTATGCTTTTGTGGAAAGAGACACAGAGGTGGTCCTTGGACATGCAGAATGCTAGAGGTGGCTATGGACCAAATAGACAGAACAAAGCAAAATAGGCCCCTGTTTATGAGCTGTTGATGCTGTAGGAGATTCTTGTTCCACATAGACTTGAAGGCTCACAAATGGGTTTTATATGGTCCTTTCTTCTGAGAGGATGCAATTTACGAGTACAGTTTCCCTGTCCTGACAGAACCATAGGACAAATGGCTTTAGTTCTCTCTGTTTTTTACTTCCCCTGCTTAATTTGAGGAACAAATAATTATGTCTGGATTTTCCTTAAATGAACTTACAGCTGGAAGAAAAAGCCACGTAGTGGTTTAGAGCTGCATAGATACTACTGGTAGAAAAGATGAATGCGAATACAAAAATTTCTATCAGACTAGTATCAATACAGAGCTGGCAGCCTTAGTCCATGAAACTTCTTCTTACCTGTAAACATTTAAACAATTCTCTATAATCTGTTGTCAGAATGGAAATGAGGTAGCCTGAAATTTTCCAGTGTATAGGGTTAATGTTATGGTAAGTCTCGATATGACAGTGTAATATACAGGTCTGTTCTGACCATTTTTTTTAGCAGCTGGCATCTTCTAAGTGAAATTTATTTTTAAAAACACAATGGAAATTCATGAAAAATGTTTTTAGAGGATGCAAACAATTGAATAGTTATTTTATTTTGGAAGATCTTGATACAAGGGGAGACAAGTTACATAATGTTGTATTCTTAAGGCTCATCTGAACTAGCCAGAGATTGAGCTATCTTAGTGAAAAATTCTTTTCTTTTTGAGTTAAAAATCTAAAAACTGCTGAGGACATGAAAAGTCTTTCTTGTTAATAGTTGCTCTGCAAAATTGACATCATAAATTGCTTAATTTATAGATAAAAGACACTTTGGTGACTTCATGTTACATGATCCATGGTCATGTTGTTGTTGAACATTTTGGGTATTTTTAATGTGTCGTGCTCAGCAAAAGTTTTTGAAAGACCTTTTCTGTCCTCAGCATGGAAAAGTTATTTCACTTCCTTTTCTTCCATCAGGCTTATTTTCCCACTACTTACCATCTCTTATTATGTCTTATCTTTCTTCTGGATAAGATTGTTTTCTCAGTTCACATACAGAAGGCCAATTAACTTCTGGGTGCAATCTTTCCATGCCATGGTACCCATAGGTTCAGAGATAGCGCTGTTTGTTCAGGTAATATTGGTGAATAAGACGCATTACAATTTTAGAACCTTTTTTCTGGAAAAAAAAAGGCCTTGTATACCTCTGGAGAATGGAAGTAAATTACATTCTTCTATTATGTATGTGAATCTGATTATGGGAATGACTGAGTTAATTTATCTGGTTATAAAGAACATAGCATCTTCTAAAATGCACATGGTTATTTATAGTTTTGTTGATTTTTGCTGAACTGTGTACATTTCTCGGTATATATTACAACTGTATATTGTTTTCCAAGAGAGTGAATGCAGCACTAGAAAGCAATTATGGAACTAACATATTTCCCTGAAATGCACTTTGTGATGCAGCATTTTGCTCACGTTTCTAAAAATTACTTAAACGTCTGCTTGAATTACCCTGGAATTGCAAATACCACTTGTATCATTTTATCCCAAGGATACCATCTTGGTAAGGGTATATTTTCCTTTATTGGCAAAAATAAGTTGCCTTCCATAATAACTGTTTTCCCCACATCCAAAATATTTTGTCACCAAGGAGCGTGATAAAACTCCTTGCTACTCCATGCACTGGGGCACCTACGCTATATGTCACAAAGAAGAAAAAGGACGTGTGTTTTGGCATTAAAAAAATGAAACAACAAAGCAGACAGTTGTCATACAAAAGTAACCTCATCAAACAAACCCTCTGTCACCCAACTTAATGGCAAATTTCGTGTAGGAGTCATTTTTCCTTTTTCTCAGTGTACTACCTATTACCACAGTCTCAACTTCAAGAACGATCAGAGACGTAGAAAACATGATAAGAGGAGACGCTGAAAGAATTGGGGTTGTTTAGTCTAAAGAAAAGGAAAGCGTTGGGAGAAGTGGTAATGATCTTCAAAAACCTTCTTTAAAAGTTTCTCTGCAGAAAGGAGGAGTATGTTTTCCTACATATTCAGTGGGTCTAGGGCAAGAGGTGATGAGCTTGGAGTAGGAGATTTAAGGTAGACATTAGGAAATTATTTCAAACTGCAAAAGTAGTTTAGCACTGGAAATAATTACCTGTGAATCTTGCTTACTGAAGGTTTTGAAAGGTGGTTTAGATCAAGTGTCTCAGGAATGGTTTTAGGTGCAGTAGATTACATACAGATAACCCCAAAAGGTTCTGGACTGGTTTATATTGTTCTGTTTCTCTTGGGTGATTTACAACAGGTGCATTACTGCCATGTTAGTTTAATTCTCACTCCTCCTTATATCCTTAAAAAATGCCAGTAAGAAAACATGGCAGTAGGTTAAAATTGGGGTAAGTAGAATGGGTGGTGAAGTTCCCAATAGCAGAATATCAAGGAATCGTGGTTATTGCAGGATAACTGTTGTGTTTGAGCAGGAGTGTGACTTAATGACATGTCCCTCTGACAGGCTTTGGGTCACTTGAGTACTGGGCTGGCATTCAATAGGCAGTGGATATTCCACGCACAGAAATCTATGTTTTAACTCATCTTTTAAATTTTAATTTAATTTAATTTTAATAAATTTTAATTTAATTTTAGATTTTAATTGAAGTGTTGGTCTTTCTTCAGTTTTTGCTGTGTGTAAATACTTCCTGAATTTGCAAGGAGTGAGCTCTGTCCAGAGTTCACCAGTGGCCAGTGTTTTAGTCATCAGGTACCATCTCTGTGGGTTCAGGAATATTCTGCCCAGGATGTGGGGAAAAGGTAGATATTTGGAGCAGCAGGTCCAGAAGCCAAAATTACCTCAACTAATGAGAGTATGAAGTTGAACACAATATTGTTTCACTTGAATTTGACTGTTATCCTTGAGACTTTTGGTTCCTTACAAAGCCTTCAATTTCACTGCATCATTAAGGTAGTATCCAACATACTCGTTCATCTTTGAAACAGAACTGGGGCATTTGTTATTTGTCCAAGTTGAAGATGCTTTCTGCTGTGCAACTTAAAGCATGTTTTGCTCACCTTCTCCTCAGTCTTCGTGTTTCTCTGATTTTCACCATTTTTCCTGCAGCCTAAAAATCTCATGTTTTCTTTCTGTAGGTAGCTATAGGTTTTCTGCAGTAACAGACTGATAAAATGATGCACGGAAGGATTCATGAGAATCTATGGTGTGTGACTGCCTGCAAACAACTCTGTCCCAGTCTGAGAACACCTACGTCTTTGTCGTTCCTTGACAGAAAACTGATGAAACTGTTTCTGGATACTAATTGACGTCTGTAGGTACTGTGTTCTAATCCCTTGTAATTTCAAAATTTTTTGTAGTATCTAAGATTGCTACAAGTCAAACTCTTTATTACGTGTCCTATCTGCATTGTTGCAGTGATCTTGGATATCTAAAGACTGTTATCATGCTGCTTTGTTTCAGTCTTTCCTTATGGAGCATGATTTGTCAATCTCCCATCCATTGCACTGTCCTGCAGACTCTTTCTTTGGTCAACTTTTTCAGTGAGCGTGGCATCCAAAGCCGGACAGAGTACTCCAGTTAAAACCACGGTGTTGTGTAAAGAGAATATTATTTAGCACATGCAAAAATGCCATTTATCAAACTTGGTGTGCCTCCTTTTTCATAATACAAGATCATTGACTTCAATTTGTGGCGCACTGTCACTTTCTATCCTTCTCTGGGTAATTCCTGCCTACTCAGATTTTCTTATTTTATGCTTCTCCAGATGATTATTCTGAAGGGTACTATTTTGCACTTCCTGTTGAAACTCTGGTCTGTGACAGCTCAGCTCGCTGAATTGCAGAAGACAAGTTTCTGGAGACTGAACAGAAGGAATGCGAGGAGGAACCACTGAAGATTTCATATTAGGTGATTGTGAATGACTGCCTCTGGCACTGGGGAGGAGTTGGTCTTTGGGAAATTAATTTTACCGTCTGTACAGAAGTGTTTCCTCTTCTTAAGATTCAGTTTTAGTTATGGAACAGTCCGTGTGTGTGCACCTTCCTCTTGGAGGGAGAGCAGCCTGGAAATTTGTACCAGTAGTTGCTTTTGCTTTCATGAACACTTCTGTTATCTGACAGAATACTGTGCTTCTGCAAATATTTGTAGAAAGCAACTACATCATGCAGAAAACAGGAATGATCATAAATTAAGTCTTCCTGATTTCTCTAGTGCTACAAGAAGGGATACAAGAAGGTAGTTGTACAGTCCCAGTTAGTCTGTCCTGGTTTTGGTTGTATGGAGATTCCTAAAAGACATGAAAATCGTGATTGTTTAAACTGTTAAGATCTGACAGAAGAGAAGGGAGGCCTTTTTTTTTTTTTTAGCAGAAGAAATCACATACTGTTTAAACAAACACTTCCCACATACTGAAACAAGACAGCTAAAGGTACTGTAAGTTTATTACTGTTTTTTTTGAAAAAATGTTTCAAAATTTTTGTGTCTAAGAATAAATTCTTTTTCTTTATTTATTTTGAAGTGCATGCCTAAAGTTAGTTTTTGTAACAGTAAACTTTTCCCTCTTTCAGTTAAGTTGATAGGAATTACAGACCCTGTGGAGCTACCTTCTCTAACTTTTTTTTGGAGGTGTGATCATCTTAACAGGAACATCGTAACGGTGGACTTGCAGACTGCTTTAGAAATTCATGTATTGAGCTACATATTGACTTAGGAAATGTCTCAGAACAGCACACCCTTCACTTGGTGTTTTGAACTGCATACTTTTCCCCCAAAGCTCATGTAGGAGTAGATGACCTTACAGAATCTCTGCAAGGTGCGGGATTGTAATGGTGCATCTTGCCTCTGACTCGTAAGCTGTACAGCAGCACAACGCAAGGGTTAAGGACAAGGTAAAATCACTTTCTGCTGTTTTGATCTCCTGAGAGATTATTGCTTTTATGCAAGAAGTGGGGAGTGGGGTTCCTTTTGTGAGGACTGTTCCTGTGCCAGAATTTGAAAGCATGGGCCAAAAGTGTTCCTGTCAACTGTCATACCATTTGTACCTCTGCATCAGAATCTTGAATTTGGATAGAAAGATCTCCATTGTAGAAGCCCCATCTTGTGGACAACCAATCAATGACTGCTTCAGCATAACTGAGATTTGAAACACCGAGAAAATCTGAAGAAGTTTTGGTAGTCTTTGCAATAAAATGGACAGTCTTCATGTTGCTGGACAAAATGGAAACTTCATTCATGTGGAGAAATCAGCATATGTTTTTTGTAGACTATTTCCAAAGGTAAGAAATAGTTAAATACAGAGAGGTGATAAACTGGGATGGAAACAAGGATGTTGACCCCAGAACTCTGTTCTAAGTGTGAATCAGCTAAAACACTAACAAGCCTGAACCCTGCCTTGAATTTCCAGAATATTTTCCTGTAGCATTTTTATAGTATAAATGAGTCTTTGAGTGGCAAAATCATATAAGGGTAGAAGGATGCTCTTTTAAAAAATTGTTAAGACAGAAAGACAAGCAAAGTATGCATGAAAACTGAATCTGGAAGCTTTGGGAATATCCTTAAGGAAATACTTGGTTTTGGCACAAGATAATGGAAAAGGGAAAGCAAGTGTAGACTCAATTAGCCAACATACTTGGTAGGAATAGTGTTAGGAAGGTAAAAAGAGTGTGAAAACAAGCCTGTGATGAAAGCTGTTTTAAAATTTCACTATGACATAAGTATAATATATATATTCTATTATATAGAATAATATATACATAGAATATCTTTTTGTGACTCTGAAGAAATTGGGTTACTTATATGATAGTTTTCTATTTCTTCTGTATGAAGAAATTAGGAAACTATGATAGTTTTCCATTTAATAATAAAGGGTATGACAAAGTAGCCAGAAAGTGTAGCGACATCTAGGGCCAGTTTGGCAGAAGTGCCTCCATGCTATGGTGTGTAGCTCCTTTGCTACTTCTTAGATTGGCATTTGGCAGTTGCACTCCATGCAAAAAGAAAAATATCTTGAGCAACACAACCTCTTGAGAATGAACATCATGAATATGAGAATAAGATCTTTATTTTAGGGTGTTAGAATGATCCCAGCAGGAGTTTTGAGTGGTGGCAGTAGAAAAGAGATGTTCTTCACTGAATTTGTAGGTTAGATCTGAGTAAATTTTAAGCGGGAGATGGGTATGTGCTTAAATCCAATGTACGCTTCAAAAGACATCCCACATCTCTAACTGAAAATTTAACCACTTTTTTTTTTTTTTTTCTGTGAAGGTAGTGTACCCAGGGCAAATTTGGTCAGAGTGGCTTGCTTGGAAGAAATGAGAGGAGTAAAGAGGGGTATGGTGTGTAAATAGGGTGCCCTACCAGCCCCGTTGTTGGGAGGAGAACAGAGGTTCTATTCCTACAGGTGGATATCTGACTAAGCATGGTGATTAAAAAAGAGACATAAGTTCATGATCTGGACATCACAAAGCCAGGAAAGAACTTCCTAGTTTGTGTCAGGAGAGTTCTGGATGAAGTCTTCACTTTAAAGACATATGAGGTACAATATATTTTAATACTTAAAATTACCTGTAAGAGTGAGTGTGCACCTGTCACTTTACAGTTTAATGTAAAATAAGTGCTTACCTCATACTGAATATTAAGACTTAGATTTTCATCCTTTGATAGGCTAGGAATTTCATAAACACAACTCATCATAACATCATCATAACATAAATAGATCTAAAAAGTCACTGTTCATAATAAATTAACAGATAAAACTATAAATGCACATTATGAGCACATTATTTAAAAATTCAGAAATGCTGGTGCCTGCTTAGGAATTCCTGACTGACTCTGTTTGTTTCTCATAGCAATCCAAAGTCTCTTCTGAAATAGAATTCTATGCTTTTGGTGAAGGGCATCTTTGAGGAGTTGTCTGAGCCATATTCTCAGTTTTGACCTCAGTCTGTACCTTAAGGGAGAGAATTAAGACTTTAGCAATATACAGGACAAAAAATTTCACTTGAAAGCAAGTTTTCCTGGAACCAGCATGTGCAAATAAAAAATCTTTCTTAGTGTGAAATGAAGCCATGAAGGGAGCTGCCTTTTTATGGTTCCTTTTTATGGAAGGTGTTTCTTCCTCAAGAGACAGGGAACAGCAGATGCTAGTTCACCCCTCCAGGGAAGAGCATATGAAGTGGGAACAGCTACTTATAATTCCCTGCACTTAAATAATGAAGCATGAACAATTCAACAAGAGAAGTACAGACAGATATTAGTATGGTGTGAAATCCAGAGAAGAAGCTGTAGCCTAGGAAAAGAAAATGTAAAGCTTGTACTAAAAGGTGTTGGAAAGCAGGAATTTATTCCAGAGGTGTCCAAGAGGGAGTAATGATTGCTCAGAATCCCTGCTCCACCAGGTGAGTTCATTGTAGTACAGAGAAAGGATAACCCCTGGTATAAAGGACTGGATATTTCGTTACCTTGAGCAGAAGGCTCTAGAAAAAGCCGGTGTTAGTAAAAGCAGAAATCTTTGCAGGATTGTCAGACAAGGGCAAGCATTCAGTGATACTTCTTACATCAGTTTGTATTAGAAATTATAGTTTCTTGTATGTGCCCATGTGAGAAGGAAGGAAAATAATCACATGAAGACACTGAAGAGTGATCTGTGGTACATTCCTTTGCTGATATGTACAATAAAATATTGAGTTGCAGAGTATTATAAACAGAGAGTTGATTGCTAAAAGTTGCAGAGTAATATGAATCTCTTGTACTAACAGATTTTATCAAGAAAATACAGCAGAACTGGAAACTCGGAGCTTAAGTGTGAATTTGCAGTAATCCACTGGCAGAAGAGTTGTGTAGGTGTATCAAATTGATTTGAAAGGGAATGAGGAGGTGTGACTTGTGAATTGCTACTTTTTTAAGGTAAAAAATTAGTGCACATGTAGGTTGTGTTAGAAAAGAAAGTCTTCATCCATATCTCTTTATTATGCACATTTTTTAAAACGTTTTCTTTGGTTGTCTCTAGCTTTTCTACTATTTTATATCTTTGTATATTAAATTTTTATTATATCAAAATGTTAAGAGATGTAATAATACTGATATATCCAGTGGTTTAACAGTAAAAAAAAGATAGGAAGATTTTCAGTGGCCATTGGAAAACAAAGTTTGATGTGTTATGCTACTACAAAATTAAATATATGCAGTTGAACTGTGAGCACCTGTGTTTGTAATATATGGGAATGTTCTTTTAAAGCTGTGTCTCCATAATGACATTTGAATTCCAACTTTGGTATGTAATATTAGCATAGTACTTTATATTTGATTTTCAGCAGTGTAGTTTTTTGAGGCTAGGTGGCTTACGCTTTGAGAGGATTCTTCTTTTTAATCAATAGGAGGAAAGTTTCTGCTCTCTTTATAAATTTACCAGAGCCAATCCTTCATACCAGAGTTCATGTTTTATTGACCTGACAGTGTTTTGTCTTTGCAATTGACTGCTGCAAGGATACAGTGCTCTAGAAATTATTACAGAACAGTATTGATGTTACTGTAGTATTTCGCCCTAATAGTTATTTCAAGTATAGAGTTACTTACGTTTTTGTGTTTGTGGTGTCAGCCTGTTCCACTGCTCTGCACCTGTACTGTCCCTGGCTTGTGTCCCTCCCTCTTCCAGCCCTATCCCTTCCTCCAGAGCTGTGGTGGTGCCACATTGTTGTAACCTCACTGCCACTTGCATTAGTCACCACCACAGGATCCACATCCCCAGGGATGGATCCTGGTCCTGGTCCCTGTGCATAAAAAGTCAGCGAGGTAAGGAGAAGGAAAGGCCCCTGCCATCACCAGAGACAGTTTGAAACTCTTCTGACCCCCATCCAAAAGGCTCCATAATTCTACAGTTCCTTGTGGTAAGACTTTTTTTTTTTCTGGTATTGATGTCACAAACATTTTAAAATGGCATCAGCCATTAATTACAATCACAACTTTTAATTCTGGGTTTCTGTTTCAAATCTTCCCCAGTTCAATCAGAACCAAAAGTTAATGCCCGTTGGCTAATTTCCAGTGCATGCCTCCACAGAACAACTGTTGCCTGTAACTGGTGGAGAGATCAAGGCTTGAACTGACAAAAGACATCTGTATCTTGGAAAACAAATTAATGTTTATGTTTTAATTTATAAGTTCCTGGCTCTTTTATGGTTCCTGTTTTTCAAGTAATGTCTCTTTGGATCCCTAGCTGATGGAGAGTCAAAATGGAAAAGGCCCATGAGAGAATTATCACAATACAACATCTGGTCTGCATTGGAAAAAGCTGAGAAAGATATTCAACATCTCTGAGACCGAGAGGCAGCTACGAGGCACTTTGAAAGTCAGTCTATGAAAAATTGTGCAGGTTGTGGCCATCTGGGCCAGTCTAATGTTGTTTTGGGAAGAGCTACTCTGCTTCCTAGCATCTGAATTTTAATCTCACTTCAGCACAGATATGTGGGAGCTGGGAGTGGTATGAAAGGTGTTTGCTTTTCATAATGTTAATCTGAATCCCAACATTGTCCTAATTATATCATGGGTTTTTGCCAGTCTCCCAATTTTCTTTTGAGCATGTTAGCTGAGGAGTCGAAAGGCTTTCCCAGGGCTTTTGGCATAGCTTTATAGGAAAAAGGATGGAAAGGACTTTGTGTATTTTTGGAAGAATATTTTGCATCCTGCTTTAAACTATTCCAGAAGGTAAAAGGACATAGCTAGACTGCATATTGGCTCGCATACTGGTATGTCACTAATGGCAAGGAGTTTTGCTTTGCCAAATTGTTCCTGTTTTCTGCAGTCACAGACTATGAGAAGTGCAAAGAAGTCGTGGACCAGCCTGGGCAGTAAGGGTACCACTGGATTCAGAGGGAACAAACTCCTTCCACCACACGCAACCTTGGTCCCTTAAGTCATAGCTCATGCAGAACAGAAACAATTTGACATGTATAACAAGAAACACTGCAAATTGTTTTCCAAACAAAGACCTATGCTGCAGATGGAAGAACTGATGAAAATTGTTTATAGTTGAGGAACTAAATGTGGATTTTTCAAGAACAAGGTTGCTCTCTCCCTTGCCAAGACAAACAAATCTGGTAGAACATCTCATTGCTTTAGGCTGCCTGAGGACCCACTGGAAGGTCTATGGACCTTTCTCCACAGAAAATTTGTGTGTTGACAATACGTAAGTGTACTGTCCACAGTTGCACTGTGGCAGCTGCAGAGGAAGTGGAAGGTTCTCAGAAATACATGAGGGAGAACTGGATTTTTGGCTCCTGGAACAATATGGAGTGCTTTTGGAAACTGTGGAAGCTGGATGTCACTGCTATAAAAGGTTATCTGTGAGTTAAACATAATGGTAATTAATCTGCTATCTTTAGATCTGAACACTAACAACATGATGAAATTGAGCATTCCTATTATTTAGAATTGCAATTTTCCAAGATGCCTTAATTCCTACAAAGATACCCGGATCTGCATTGTTAGAGGTTTTCAGTGTCAATCTTCAGAAGTAGACTGTGCACAGATGTTTTTATAAGGCAGTATATAGTTATCCCAAATATTTTTAATGGACCAATTTTTAGGAAAAACATGTACAGTCCCTGATACTGACATAAAATGTGTATTAGCATAGACTGTGCACAGATGTTTTTATATATAGTTATCCCAAACATTTTTAATGGCCAATTATTTAGGAAAAACATGTACAATCCCTGATACTGACATAAAATGTGTATTAGCAGAATAATATAATTTGTACTACCCTGGTATATAGTAGGCTCTGGCAATATAAAATTAATCATGTCATTAACATTCTGTTATATCTGTAAGCATATATATTGTAAAAGAGTGCCAGCAGCATTCTGGGCTGTGTTAGGAAAACCATTGCCAGCAGGTCATGGGAGGTGGTTATTCCCCTTTACTCAGCACTGGTGAGACCACAATGAGAGTGCTGTGCCCAGTTCTGCTCCCCACGACAGGAAGGACATGGACATGCTGGAGTGAGTGCAGGGAAGGGCCATGAAGATGATTTAAGAGACTGGAGATCTGTTATATGGTTGCCCAAAGAGGTTGTGGAGTTGGCATCCTTGAAGATAGTCCAAACCTAAGCAAGTGAGGTCCTGGGCAGCCTGCTCTGGGTGATTCTGCTTTGAGCTGGGGGTTGGAGTGGATGATCTCCAGAAGTGCTGTGAACATTTGAAGGAGTTTGCTTATGTCTTGTCAGTGTTTTAGTTGGAACCTGACTGTGTAGGAATCCTAAATAAAGCAAAGGCTGTGACTGTGGAAATACATCCAGATGGCTGAGACCCAGAAAAGGCATAATGGAAGCTGATGAGTATTTTGGATATCTCATCAGAGTGATATTTGACTTAAAAATACAAATATAAAAGTGACTTGGGTCTTACTATCGGTGACATTGAATACCCATACTGATTTCTCACTTCAGCTGGATTGCAGATGGTAACAGCCTCTCTCCATCTGAACACCTATTTTAGTTTAATCTTGCTTTGGAAAACCTTACCACATACTTTACTCTAGAAAAGAATATTCGATGCTTTATGATGCAGAATTAAGTTGTTTGATTTGTTAAACACTTTGTTTCCTTACAAGTACTGATACTAACAAATCTCAATGTATTTTGATTGATTACTTCAGTAATAGGCACATATTATGTCTCAAAGAGTTAAGAATGTCATAATTTGAGGAAAAAATATATGAGTACATTGCATATTCAATGGCACTATAAAGTTAGCTTGTAACTATTCTTTTAGCACCTTCAGAATAAGAACAAAGCTGAAATAAAAAATTGGCTTGCATTTCTTAATAGACACAAAATTTATATGGAAAGGTAGAGATAATGTACTTTTTTAGATCAACTGAATCATGATAGAAAGATTTAGATATTTATTTTTTTACACTTCAGCAAATGAAACAATAAGTAACAATAAGATAATAAGTTTATTATCAGTGTATGGAGTCACACGCCTCTTAGAAACTAAGACATAAATGTATAAATATAGCCATGCTAATTGTCAGGAGACATCATATTTTGCTGTGGGTGAGCCCATCCTGAAGCCACAAAGTCAAGTCTTCAGACATAAATAACATATGAAGGTCAAATAAACTTAGTCATAAGTTCCCATCATCTACCCCCACTTTCCCCTGAGTTACTGCTTTTTCAGCTTATCTCCTCTGATTGTAATAGTCTTTGTGTGGGATGGGTTTTTGGTGGGGAGGGTATTACTTTAAATTGACACCTCTAGCAGCAGTTCCTACTTCTACTGTTTTCCTTTTATAAATTTATAGCCTGCTATATCTGTCCAAGCCTGGCCTAGCTCCAAGTCACCCATTTCTCAGTAATACAGGAAATTAAATCTAATGTCTATAAGCACAGGGGCTTGTGCAACCTTCCTTCCCTGAAAAAAAAAGTATTAAATAACCTCATGATATTACCTTGTCTTTTCATAGCTAGAGAGTGCTAGATAGCACTTTGTTTTTCTGCAGACCAAATAGGTTCTGCATTTGGACTAGAGGAGGCTGGGTTTATCCACCCCTTTCTGCAAATTTTCTGAGTATTACCTGAATATTCTGCTCTTGAAAGGATATGGAGGTGAACCCCCTGAAACCTCCACGTCTAAGGTTTGATGCCCTTCTCCACATCTCCCTGTGGCAGGATCCCCCTTTGTTCCCCGACACAAGGGCTGTTTACCCCATACTCTTACCCCGGGGGTGCTGGCTGCTTTCTCACTCATTCTCTCCCTCCCAGGATTTTCTCCAGCCTGACCAAATTTCTGCCTGTTCCATCCCATTTTCTGTTAATACCTGCTGTGGTTCTGTGTCAGTGGGTAAGGTATTTAAAAATGCAGAAATCTGACTGACCTGACATACGGATTAGCACCATAATTTCAGAGGTTTGTCTCCTACACGTATCAGTGTAATAAGTGGATTTATACTGAATAATTTAAAATTATTGTAGCCCTCTGAAACCATTTCTGGCTAGCGCCTGTAATATGTAGAGTGACATAAGGTCACCCATGCTGTGGAAATTGGTTTTGCAGTTCATATGCTAATTCAGCAAGAAATCAGTTCTTGCAGAAACCCAAAGAAAATTATTTTAATATAGTGCCATGCTACTCTATTGACTTTCTGGAAAGATACAATTAAAACATTCAAGGGAGTTTCATGGCTGGAGCAAATACCATTATGGAAATATAAGCTTATTTTTACCACACAGCTTATTAGCTTCCTTTCTAAAAGCAAGTCAACTGAATGTGAATAGACATAACATTTTCACCTGCTCAAGAAGATGAGGAACAAGGTATTTTTATAAACTGAGTTCAATATAAGAAGATAGACTTGGCACGGTCTCTTCTCTGTCACTCATCCCAGGTTTGGTGTAACCACTGCTGCAATTTTCTGGATGAAAACTTCCATCTAAATACATCCAGGGCCATTAATGAGGCTGCACTAGGGCAACTGATTGCCATGTGGAACAGAATTACCTTGATGGTGCCTAAAGAGAATCTCTGCACTCGGTGTGAATAAGGGGTAACAAATGCCTTATTTTTTCAGAAACTAATAATTAAGGTAAATTGAAAATATTTTTAATAGTTACTCTCTAAGAGTAATCACTAAGAACTTAGAAGCCTTGTATTTTTTTCCAAATGGTGCAGTTACATTAGGGAATTACTGAGAACAAGAAGTAAAATAACTGTAATATTTACTGTATGAAGATACTAAAGGAAAACCATTTTACCAGCATAAACTGCTTCATCTTTTTGAGATGAAGAATAAACAAAATTTTGTATATTGAAAAATAAACAAAATAAAATTTAATTTCTAAGAAAAAATTCTTAAAATATATGATAAAAATTTTATTGCCGTTGTCAGGTTTTAAAAGATATTTTAATTTTATGAGATATTAAAGGAAAAAAATCTGGTTTACTCTACGTTCTTTCATAAAACAGGCACAATACTGCTATTCCCAAAGGAAAGACACTGGTTCCAACAAGAGTAGTGTCTGTTCTAGAACGAAGAATAAATGGTTCAAAATATCTGCATAAACAAGTTAAAATGCTTAATATGAAAATAGTGTTATTTCATGTAACAGCCTTCAGAGTGTTTGGACTGTTCCATTTCACATGGCCCAGGAATGCAAACAGGTATGACATCATATCATTTTAAATCATTAATGGAATTGTTTCCTTTAAAATGTACATTGTTATGTTCTACTCAAACTTTCTTTTGTTAATTCCAAAGTTCTTTTGGCCTAACCATCTCTGTGTATGTTTAGCTGTGTTAGCTAAAGATGATTTTCCAGTGTTTTCTTGCATAGACTTTATACCAAACGATATATTTAATTGCGTTACATGTCATTTTAATAAACTTAATTTCCTAAACATCTGTATTGATGCATGTTCTGATCTTCCCTGATAGTCTGTTTCAGGGTGACGTTATTACGGAATGGACTGCCTGGAAGGTTGCTTTAGCTGTTTTAACTCCTTTCCTCTAATCTGCTCTGGTCTTCATTTTTCAGCTCGTAACTTTTCTAACAGTGAACATTATAATTATAATTATAAAAAGTGGTCATTTAACAAAGAGTAAATTTTACTCTGAATTTTGTTGTCATCTAGTTTTCTTTCGTGGTGCAATACCTGTAAATCAGATTATTTTCAGCTAACAGAGCCTTCAGAGGCCGTGCTATGCCTTAGCTGTGCTCCTTGGAAGAAGATCCCCTTCTTCCAAGCCTATGCAGCGGTGGGTGGCAGCAATGATTATTTACCTCCTTTATTAAAGGTACTTGGCTGTAAGAACAGAGAAGGATGAAGGCTGTGGGATCCATGTGAGCCATGTTGCCAAAACCCAGTAAGCCACAGCTCCCAGGTAAGGTCTGCAAACTCCATCCCAGGTGGGTTTGCTTCCTTGGCTGCCGGTGCTCAGTGCATCGTTTTAGCTGAGCAGAGGTTGGCTGTGCTTGGTTTCTGCCCAGAGCAGTTTGGTCTTCTCGCCTGGTTTCTGCCCAGAGCAGTTTGGTCTTCTCAAATGCTAGACCGCTTCTTCTAAGAGTTACTTTAGATGTCAAGCAAGCATCCGCATAAAAGTCTGTTGACTACAAGTATTTATTAATTCCATTTGAATTCTGAACTCTGATGTTTGCTGTAATGCTCCGTTTCAGTTAGAAATGGCACGAGGGCAGTGGGTAGTTGTGCAGCAGCCTCTGAGGCTGCCAGGCAAAAATTTAATTTACTGTATCGCTGTAATAATTAATTGGGAAGAGTTTGTGAATGCACAAAAATCCAGAAGAGGTGAGAAGAAATAAACTTCCATCAGCTTCACTTTAAAAGATAAAGAAAGAAAAATAACTGAGACAGCTAATTAAAAGAAGCTTTCTCAGCTGAAGGCTGTAGAGTTTCCATGCCTTGCTTTAGTAGTTACATACTTGTCAAAGAGCTTGACTAGAAATGGAAATGCTCTGGTGGGTCAACTATCTGCAACAGCTTTTGTATACTGAGGACAGTTTGGGGAGGGACTGTGATATGGTCAGTATTAGTGGAAGGGCCTGCAGTGTTTGGGCTGAGCTCTGTATTTGAAGAAGAGACATGAAAGAAGGGTCTGCCCCCCAGTACTGTGCCAGAGACACAGGAGATCTTCAGACCCAGCAGGGTTTATGTACGTGAGATCCCCAGGCAGAGTTCAGCACAGTCTATGGGCAATCCAAGAGGGGAGGAAACTCAGTCCAAGCTGTCATCTTCCCCTCCACCGCCTTCACTTCACGCTAGTGTAAATAACAGGTTGCATGCAGTTGCTTTTTGAAGAGACAGGAAGAAAAAAACGCAATTGCATGTTTAATATCATGGTTCTAAAGCTTAGTGAGGTGGGCACACACAGGATGGATATATGCTGCACACAACTTGGAGATCTCCTTCTGTTTAAAATTCTGTCTCCTCTGTGCATTACTGATTTGTCTGTATAGCAGACAGAGATAACAGCAACACCCTGTTACCTCAAGCGTGAAAGGTTTGTTCTGGGAATCTAATGGCCAACTGAGTGGAATTAATTTGATTTTTTGTTGTTGTTTTTCAGCAAGCATTTAAAAGGTCCACCAGTTCATCTCTGTCAGAGATTATTTTTCTCATGGCTTAGCTTGGACACTAATCTCACTGTTGCTTTTACATTACATTAATAGAGCAGGAGCTAAGGTTTTCTCCATGTGTTCAGTATTACAATTTGCAAGTCTTGTTGCTTGGGATACCTGCAGGAGCAGTGTCTGTTTGCACAGCAACAACGGAACTAGGGTTCAGACACTGCTAGATAATCAATCAAGAAGGAACAAAGATAGTTTTGAAGGCTACCCCTCTTCTTGGCTGATGCTCAGAAGAGCTGGTGAAAAATGCAAAGACAACTGAGTACACTGGCAGTATTTATTATACATTTTATTTCATAACTGGATTTTTAGGAATCAGTTTTTTAATTTAGTTATGTTACTCTGCTTTAGCAAATCATATGTGAATATAGTTGTTGTTTTTCAAAAGTGCTTGTTCTGTTTAGTTGCTTTTGTTGCCACAAGTCAACTTTTCCATGTAGTAATGTCCACAAGGTGGTGCCACAGCTAAAAGGTTAGCAATAAATAAGGCAACTAAAATTTTATAATTCTACCTTCTTTTTATAACTGATTAAGGTACCTGCATCATTAAATAATTAATAATTATTTTATAAGCGTAATATCATTGATGTTTCTAATGACATCACAGGCTTGCAAGCTTTTTTTTTTTTTTTTTAAAATCACTCGTGTAAGCTGAGTTGGATCTGTTTTGAGTGGGAGCGAGCCCCACACACCTGTGACTGTCCAAGATTGTGTCCAGAAGTGAAGAGACAGCACAGGGGTAAGTAAACAGGATGATGAAGAAAGAACTGGATCCGTAGAGACTGAGGCCAGGAGAGTTGTGTATGTCCTAGCAGGGTTACCAGCTGCAAAGGCTGTGCCCCGCAGATGTGTCTTCTCATGGAGACCACGAGGAGATGCGTGCCTGGATTGCTTCAGCAGTACCACCTGAGTCAGCCTGTGTCCAGACAAGTGGAATAGTTCATCCTTGGCTTTGGCTGAGTTCCATGCAGTCACCCTAGTGTGGCTGTGGCACATCATAGCCTAATTTTCAGAGTTTTTTCTACAGCCAGGGATAACCAAGCTCTCCATTACCTGTCACACATGGTTAATTCCAAAGGGGTGTGAAGTGCTTACAGAGGAACCTGGAATCAGAGCAGCTGGATTAGTATATACAGGTAATATTTAGTAGTAGTCTTTTTTTTTTTTCTTCAGTCTTGGTTAAAAAGGCAGCCATCCCTACCTGTGTTTAGTACAGGTGGTCAAGTGTCTGAGCATCTTTCTGCACAAGATCAGACTAGAGAAAATAAAAGGCAATAGCAGGGAATGTAAAATGATTATGTGCATTAACCACTCAGTACAGAAAAGACAATAACACTTAAAAGGTAAAAGTTCTTTGTGTGCATCTGAATGCACTATTTTCTAGCAGGCTTGCATGTCCCAGAAGAGCTGAAGTGCAGAGAGGGGTGGTCATTCCTCTCGGCGTGTGTGTCTTCAGTTCTTCAGCTGCCCCTGGCCACGTGGCCATGATTGCTTCTTGCACCCCTACCCCACTCCCCTCAATGACCTCAGCAATGCAGATATGCAATAAATATTCTCTATGAGCTTCTGCAATGGCTAGTTTAAGTCTGAATCATTTATTCATCATACTATTTTGTACCAAAGGCAGCAAGAAAAAAGGAGAAATTAAAAATACCTTTCAAAGAAGCAGTGCATTGATTGTGGCTTCCTGCTAGAGTCTCTTTTTTGGTCTGGTAGACCTGTATCAGATAGAGAAAAATAAAAGGTTTTGCATAATATATTTTCTCTAAATTGCTATATTATCATTTTTAAGTATACTAGAATTCTGGTGGCTTGTAAGACTCAGTGGAAATTATATACACCCATTATATACACTGTGAATCATGGTCTGTCTCCTGGCTATCAACTGGAATGAGCGTTAGAGGCTTAGTAAACCTAGTTCTAAAAGTTGTCAAAAGACACAACGGTCACCTCTTTAGTTTTCTTTTTTACTTTAAGATATTCTTTATTTATATTTTAAAGTGATTTTCTGCATTTTGAAAACTTTGTATTGGCTTCAACAGCAGTTTGGAAAAGTCAGAATCAGAGAACTAACCAGAAGTACAAAGTCACTGAATAGGTAAACTGGATTTAATTTCTCAGTCAGTGCAGTTAGTTAGTTTGGACTAACTGCATCATGACAGTGACATTTGGCCAGAGTATTCCTTTAAGATTGTTCTGAGTGTATGGCAGCAATGTGTGTTGCAATTAGAACGATGTATTTCTGGTTTAGTTTGGATTTTGCTTTTTCTCTGACTTCGTGAATATTTTCCAGATATTTCATGTCAAGAAGAAATTACTCTCTGTTCTAAAGGAAATGGCAGAGCATCTGAGGTCATATACTTAAGTCTCCACTACATGTAAAAAACTCAGGTATGCATTATTTGAGTAATTTAACAACCAAATTGAAATCCTAAACGTTTGTCCTTGCAATTTTTTTTTGATGATTTTGCATTCCTGTTGGAAATCCCATAAGTATTTTTAAAACATTAAAACTGTTTTTCCTCTAGGTCAGGTTTTCTCTTTTCCCATGTAGGGAATCCTGAACAAAACATGCTTTAGCTCTATACCTATGCCTAAATCTCTATTTAGATACCATTAAATATTAGAAGGAGGTAACTTCCAGTATTCTGACTTCGGAGTCAGCCTGAGCATGGCTCAGAAATCATCCTGCAGATGCACAGTGTTAACCGGAAACAATTGAGAATGGCAGTGGTATCCTGCAGGATGTGTGCAACTCGTTGGGCTGTGTGCTGATTTACACAGGACTACATTATAGATTATACGTTCTGGTAATTGCGGTATTGTTATTGCTGGGCTGTATCTAAGCACAGGAAATACATATAAGCACATTTGAAGTGATAACATCCACTCCTGTTTAAAAGGCAATATTTTATTCTAGTTGAAAAACTCCTACATAACACAGCGTTTGCAAGAGAAAGTAGGTGATTTCCTAGTTAGTACTTAGAAAGACTTTTAGGAAAAAAAAAACATTAATTATGGGAGGCCCATAACTAGCATTTACAAATAAATCCACATACATTTTTATTCTTATTCCCTTTAAAAATGTTTTTTTTCAGTGTGGACTCTAATCCAAGATCAGGAAGGATGCAGTACACTTCTATCTGAAAACACAAGAAAGATCAAAATAAATTCTCAGTGTGTCACCAAAACCACAACACGAGGTTTCTGTCAAGGAGAATGAGTAATACCATTCTAGCTGTGTAGAATTCTGTGAGTGGGTAATAATTTCTTCTGCCTGATAGGGCAGATTATATATTTTACAAGAAAATTATCCCATTTAAAATCTTGCCCTATTTCTCCAGCTCAGAGGAAGCCTACCCACCATACCCATTTTCCTCTCTGTTTAATATTAGGCTTCAGGAACAGGCGTGTTCTCCAAACAACATCCCCAGCCCTGTCGTGCAGTTCAGGAACAGAGGCATCCATTCTTGCTGCTGCTCTGGGATGCAGGATTTGGGTTCATCCCCAGCCCTGCAGCTGGAGATAGCACACATTAAGGCCCCTCTCGGATCTCTCTCACCATTTCTCTTGACGGTGGAGGCTTCAGACCTATCTATGTGCTTAGGAAAGTCACTGATCAAGTCAGGGGTCTCCCAATTTCCTTCCACGAAGGAGGTGTGGATCTATCCAGAAGAGGGAGGGAATGTCCATCAGATTTTGTATGCCAGCCTCTTCTTCGCAGGTAAGACTAACTGACAAAACATAGCTAACATATTATGCATGTTATACCTATTTCTTACTTTGTTTCACCAGGGAAAATAGATTAAAATTGGTATAAAGTTTCCTTCTTGTTCTTCTTGATGGAAAATTACCAATGAAGAGAAAAAAAGACAAAGGTTTAAGTTGATGGAATAATTAGAGGAAATCATATGATGTTCTCTCAAAAGGCCTTCCAGATAAACAGAATTTTTTTAAATATTATGAAACATTCTTGCCTGTATTAATACATAAGAAAAGTAACAGTAGAACTGTAAAGCAAATAAATAAGTAAAATAATATAAATCCCTGAGCCATAGCTACATCTAGATCCATACTGCAGCATGATTTCAATTGTATTGCAGGGTAAAATCAGAATTAACGTTGATGCCATTTGATACTTTTCCTGTTTGTAGTCCTGGAGCTTGTAATAGTATTGCAGGTCAATAATGTCACTCTATACTGTGTAAATTGATTTGTTGAAATGATAGTTATGGGTGAGGCTCTAAACAGACACTGCAACGTATAATAAAGGATTGACCTACTAACAGATCTAATGGTGATGTGATAAACACGTATCAAAAATAGCCCAAAGCACAATTATTTGCTTCATGATTTCATGAAAAGCTTTTTATCATTTTCCATTTATATTATTTAATATTAAGAATACATTTGTCTTTATGAATTTATAAGTGCTACTGGTCTGAAAATTTTGAGCCAACACTGAACAGAACTTTAGTTTTGTTAGATGTCATATTAGCAAAATTTTGAAATAATACGGTGGCTGATGCCTCTAAATTATTACGCTTTTGCTTTTTTGGGAGAGGTCCATATTCTTCTGGGAGCATCACCTGCTTAGGTAAGCTTTGATTTGCAAGATAATATGAAGATATGTCTCATTTAAAATAAGCTCTTTGGTGTTTTCCTGAATAGCAATCTCTGTCCCCAGTATAAACTCGTAATATCCTGTTTAACAAAGGAGCAGCTTCAATAGTACTTCAAGTACAGAATGTTATGCCAGTTTTCAAAGTTTGTTGCAGGGATCAGGGCTTTAAAAGCAAAGGTCAGTTAAAGATCCCTTCTTGGAACACACTAGGAAATGAGCCCCTGTGTTTATTTTTTTCTCATAAGTCTACTTACTAAATAGACCAATAATAAGTTTACCTTTAATATAATTGAATGTATTTGTATTTGTGTGAGTCACAGGAAAGGAACAAGTATATGCACACCTACCACGGCTGCAGCATGGGTGAATCTCTCTGCAATACATTCAGGTTTTGGCTTTCATTAAGCAGTAAGAGATGGCACTGCAAAAATACCTCAAAGCTTCAAAAAAGAGATTTTAATGTCTGTCTGTTCCACATGGGAAATACATTTCATCACTCTTTTACATGATATCAAAATCGTTGTGTCATTCCTTAATCATGACTATGGAGGATCAATTACAATGGAAATTAAAATACCAGAGACTCTGTATGCTGTAAGGTTTGTAATTAGCTCAAGATACCCGGAGAAATTCTGTAAGTTACTTTACTCTTCATTTTGCCTTGTCTCAAATGTGTCGGATTTAGTTTGAGTTTATAAGAGCAACTTGTCACTAAATTCTGAGTGGGAATGTATATGTTTCAATTGAAGTGCTCTAACGAGTCCTCGTCATTAAAATCTCCTATGAGTTCTGTCGCTTGCAAGGAACCGTGTGGAGCCTCAGAGCCTTCACGGCTGTTGGGTAACTCAGAGGTTTCCTCCTCTGGCTTGAGCAGTATGACATAACTGTAAAGCTCCTGAGATATCTTCGGGGCTTAAATACTTGGTTTAAATATCTAAAAGATAAGAGTTTCTTAAGCATTAGAAGACACAGAGTCAGGCTGGTGACCAGCTGGCCTGCCAGGTGCACTCTGCCCTATTTTGGGTAAGTAATCACTTGGGCCTGGGATCTACTGTACTCTTTATGTCTGAACACATTTGCAGCTATTTTAAGTGGCACAATAAAGCGGTCAGCATAAACTGAGAAAACTCTGTTTAGCACTTTGTCAGTGTGCCAGAAGAAATTCCTTGGGATTCAGAGCCTAAGGTTTAATTTCAATTAATTGTCAGGGTGCTGAATATTATTTATTCCATGCTACGGCTCATTTTAATCCAAACCACTGTCAGCTACCTTCACTGCAGGCGAAATGATATTTCCTCCTCTGCAGGAACCCATCTAGGTATAATCCAGTTTGTTCTCCTGTCTCTGAATTTGGTTTACAAGGACGACAAGAACAGAGATTGCAGCTGGCTGGGATCCCCTTGCACTTGGTTGTGTGGCAGCAGCCTGATCCAAACAGGCGAGTCTGTTTTTCCACAAAATAATTACACACAATAATATGACAAACTGAAAACTTCTCAAAGTTGTTAAATTATATCTAGTTTTGAAAAGATACTGAGCGAGGCAATGAAGCCCAGTGGGCAGAGGGCTGGACGGCGATTGAGAAATCTGGGTTCTTTTCCAAACTCTCCTGACTTTTAAGTGACCTTGAGCTGTCACTTCTTTCTGCTTCAGTTTCACTGTGTCTTGAGGAGGAGGAGGATAGTAACCCTCCGTAATGATTTCAGATCTACTGAAGACAGGATCCCTGTCCACCCCAGGCATTTCTTGCATTATCCTGAGCTAGATGCAGCTGGGGTTGGAGATGGCCAGGATTTGGTCAATACCTCCTGTATTCCAGAAAATGTGAGAAACTTTGGTTGTTAGGCTCCTTGCTTTCTATTGTCTCTCAAAACATATTTCCATGTAAAAGGTCTTACTTATCTTTCAGACCATTACAAAATATCTCCAGAACATTTCATATTATTTAGTTGCCACAGTTCTTGCTAACATTACTGGGAATTGTGATTGCCAAGTGCTTCTCAAGATCTTACAAATGATAACTTAATATAGATAATATATTTTTGACCCAAAAAAAAGTGTTTTGCAATGTTATACTTAACAAATTTGGGTACAATTGTTATCAGTTAGTTCATGTTACAAGATATCTCAATTGGACCTTTAGCTTGAGTTTAAAACACTCTGAAACTCAAAAAAATATGTTGTTTTTCTTTTAAATTATATCTTGATTATACACATTTTGTATTGATCTACAACTACAAGCTCTGTGCACAAAAAGAACAGTCTACTTTCAAAACTGTTGAATGCTTTGACCTCAAGGGCATAGAAACTGTTGACTCATTGTTTTTACTGCATATAATATTAGTCCTTTGTCACATCCAGGGAATGACATCATCTTCTTCATTGTTAGCAGCAGGTTTGAATAATAGAAAAAGTGCAGCATTAGTTGTCTGCTGTATTTGCTCTTAATAAATGAATGGATATCTGGAACCGAGATTCAGATTAGGATTTTTGAGTAACATTTAGAACAAGTTTGTGTCCAGAGCTTCCCTCCTGCCCACCGTCTGCAGGGCTGACAAGCTGGCAGGAGCAGGGAGCCTGCAGAGTGAATGTCATCGAGGGGACTGCCTCCTCAAAAGCAGTAAGGGGAGACAGGAAAGGAAGGGACCAGGTACAGAATGAAAGAGATCTTTTCTTCAAGGTCAGTTTAGTAAAGGGAATCCCTAGACTTCTGGGAATCATATTTCTCTGGAATCTAAAATTGTGAAAGGTAGTCCTCTGAAAATAAGTCATCTCTGTGACATGCTGAAAAAAAAAGGGGAAGTGATTATCTTCAAAATGCACCAGGAGAAGTATTTTAGCCATTCCAAATTTGTATTCATGTCTATTACTCTTCTACTCCCTATAACTAAAATGTCTTTGTCCTATTCTCAAAGAGTAATTCCCTATTAGAAGTATTTCCCTGCGCCTGCCTGCTGCGTGGAAGAAGGATACATTGGTAATCAGGCTGGTGGAGGTCTCCTTTGGGGTGATACACCACCTTCTTCTATAAGACTCTGCAGAATTATGGTGAGGAACATTTTAAGTGTTGCTTCTTGCACAATAAAAATTCACGGTGAAATAGTTTACACTGCGAGAGATTCCTTGAGAATCTGATAAAATGCCAAATCCTAATCTGCCCCTATTATCCACTGCCTTCACATCATCCCAGAAAAATGTGATGTATTTAACTATAAAATTATACCTTTGTGGTCTCCAGAAGATTTTGTACCAAATCTAAGTTCCTGTGTTAACAGACTGAACCAAACTGGATTGTGAAAAGCTGAAATCCGTGGAGCTGGGAGAGAAGGGCAGAGGCAGAGGCTGGGAAAGTTGGAGGCAATGGGTTAAGGATCCAGGATTGCTTAATCACGGAGGCCCACGTACCAAGAGTGGACGCAGAGAAGGGGTACACACATGGAAATACTTCCTAGAATGCCAGAGCTAAAAAAGAACAAACAAACCACACTGTAAAAGATTAAATTCAGACCCACTGACTTGGAAGCAGCAGGGACCTCATGTATTGGCCTTTGTGTGACGGAGTTCTCCTGCAGGTTGTGACAGCTCCTTTGCAAGGAGATGGTTCAGGTTTAAGCAGGTGCATGTGTCCCCATTCCCGTCCCAAACTGCTGCTCCAAATTTCAGACTTACCCACTGTGAGAAGTACAAAATGTTGCACTTTTTTCTTTATGTTTCATATGCTCTTGCAATATGAACCCTGACTTCTTTTCTCAGCCTCCTGTTCAGTCCACAGTTCCTCTTCAGTCAACATTTCTAAAAGATCTCATGTAGCATGAATTTTGGTGAGGCTAAATCAGCTGATTTTCCCTTAACCCTGTTTAGAAGAGGCTTTACTTGGACAAAAGCAATAATGCCAGCCATTTCCCTTCATCCCTTTAAAATTACTGGCCACCTCTAAAGAACTTGGTCTCTCTTTTATGTCACTGTCTGACAACTCGTCTGAGTTAAACAGGTTGCTGTGGCCAAATTAAATGCTTGGGAAATGGACCATAGAATTAATTTGCAATAGTGAGTTGTCTCAGCATCGTTTCTCTTCCTCTCGAGGGGAATGCTGGCTCAAGCAAAAGAAAAGATTAACGTAATAAAAATATTCTAAAGACATCCTGTTAATTGTCCCAAGCTCAGATGGTATTGTCTATTCTTCTCTTGCACATAATCAGCAAACAGTGTAAAATTCAGAATATCTTCCCACCGTGAAAGTATAAGATTCAGTGCTACAGGGTAATCTCTGTCTTTCTGGAAAGTGGGTGAAAATGTGGAGTGGCAGAGCTTTGCTTTGGTTTTCATAGCCGATATCAAATTTGCCCCATTTATGAATGTAATAATAAGACTTGTTAATTTTGACACACCAGCAACTTTTATGAAGAGACTAGAGGTATGTGCACAAAAGGAAAATTGGAAGCAAAATAACAGCAAATTTTGGTAAAAGAAGGAATTATTTTTTTTCTCTGAATATGCAAATAAGGTTTTCCATGTTTGTTTAGGGAGAGAAGAGACTTGAAGTTTTAAGTTCAGCAAAAACAGATGCTTTCATTTACAACTACATTTGCAACTGTGACCTTGAATATCAAACTCAGTGACAGCAAATCTTATTTTTAAAGTAAGTGAATATATCCAATAAAACTCAGAAATACCCACAAATATGATATTTGTGAAGCTGAGTGAAGCACAGCTTACAGAGAAGCAAGATGTAGCAAGAGTCTGTAATTCTCTATTTACTCTAAAATGTCCTTTCCTCAAAATGGACAAAGTCTGATTTAAGGCATTTTTGCTTAGATGAAAATCATCATAAAATATGGAAGAAAATGTAGAATGTCATTTGCTTCAGTTCATGTAAACTAATCGGGCTGAATGATGAGTCTTCCTGTAATTCGGAGCATTGCTGACTACTATGCATGAAACAGTGTTCCTCCCCTCGTAAACAACTCGAGCTTTGCGTATGTATCAGTGTAGAAAAATAAGTATTGGCTTACTCACAGGTTGCTTTTTAGGCACTGGATTCCCAGAAATGTATAACAGCATCTAGAAGCAAATGAATTTGTTGATATCAATCAGGTTTTCTTTCATTTTTTGGTCTTAAAGGCACCTCGATCTTAAAAAAAAAAAAAAGTTTGTCATTGTGAAAAGCAGAACTTTTATCTCCACTCTGATGCTCACTTCCTTGCTTCTTCTTCCAATACAGATTTTTGACACAGATTCAGTGTGCCTTATTTCATTTTCTTTCAGACTGCCAAAAAAGGTGTTTCCTAATACTTTACCAAACAAGCAGGTTCTCTAGAAGAGGCTAACTTGTTCTCCTGCTTTTATTACTTATGTATCTTTTCAAAATGAAATACTTTGAATGGGGCACCTTCTTTTCATGTCCAATATGAATTTTTTAATTCTGTCATTCTGCAGGACAGTAAGGAGAGAAAATAAACCAGATGCTTTATCAGATTGAACCTTGATCAGATTTTTCTGTGTTCTCAAAGAGAACAGTGTGGAGCAAGTAAAGTTACTATGTTTGTAGCTTTGAAAAGAAATTAAAGACCCAACTCTAAGAGCAGAATTCTACTCATCTTAAAAAAAAAAAAAAAGAGGGGGGTCATTTTGCTCTACCATGGTTGCATCTGAAAGTTTAGGATCTCCTGGTATTGAATCTCCATTACATGAATTGGGAAGAACTTATCAGTAGGAGCCAAAATACGGGCAGAATTTCACCCACCATAATACTTCCTATCTCTGCTGGTATCTGACATGAGTGGGTGATGAAAACTGTAACTCTGCTTCTGAGTTCTTAATTGTGGCAACCTAGGAAATCCTGACACTGTGTTAATTAGGTACTAACCATGGTGGGAGAGGTGTGTGAGCCTTCACACTAGGGAATTTTACTGTCTTTGAAGTATAAATTGAAATGAATAATGTTAGTGATAAGTTCGTGGTGGCAATGGAAGTCAAAAGGTTATGGTAGAGCTTGTGTCTTTTAATAGACAAGTTAGAAAAGGTAGATAAGCTTCTGGGCAGACAAGAAAGTAATGTTGCCCTCCTTGTGTGATGCTCTTGCTATAAGCAAAGGATATTGCAGATTTTTTCTGAACATTAAGTAATTCAAGAAAACAATAGGAGTATGAAAATCCAAAAGTTAGGCTTTAATTCATTTCCATCTCCTTTATTACCTTCTCAAATTATACTGCAAAGAACCAGAGACTAGACCTCTGGGAAAGCTCCTCAGGTCTCTGGGGAAAAGTCTGAGGAAGATGTTCTTAAAAACAATTTATTATTTAGTTTCCTCAGTATGGTAAAAGCTAGATACAGCTCTTCTGGCTTCTCCAGAGATGCCTCCCATTTATAAATGGCACCTAATAACAAGTAAGCCTTTTTGAAACATTTCAAAGACTTCTCAGTGCTCCAAAATAGCCAGCATTCTCATTATTTAAGATACATACTCAAACTGATTTCTCTCTCTTGATGCCTCCAGTGTAAAATTATTACATTGTCAGAAATAAATCAAGTCTAACTTGTGGGGGGAAAAAAATGGATTACATTGTGTGCTTCGTTTTGTACCATTATGAAAATGGTATATTAAATTCAAATACTTCAATTGTACCATTAAGATGGTGTCATTACGTGGCTTGCTAATTGATAGGTTTTTCAAATGAACGTTATAATTTTAGACTTCTTAGAAGGATCCATACGAAGAATTTCCAAAACACCGAGAAGTGAACTGGGTGTTAGGAAGGAAAAACATTTACTGAGAATATTTCCTAATGCATGTCACTGAAAAATCGTTACATAACTGCTGTGTGCATTCCAGGACTTGGTGCAGTCTATTTTTAATACCTGGTATGAAAGAACTTCCTGCTAGTTTTTCTCTTTGAAGGCTGCTTTGTGGTTCATTAGATCATGTTTTCAGGCCAATTTTTCTGCTATCCTTAAACGTCATTTTTCCTGCTTAAAAAAAAAAAAAAAGGTGAAACTGTATCAAATGCAAGAAGATGCTGAGCATAAAATATCATTAGGAGTGAGGTACGTGATGTGAGTGTTGCAGTGGTCCCAGAACTAAGCTCTGCCAACTCAGGCTTAATATTAAACCTGAAAAGAATTCTGAAGTTGTTATGCACTTTTAAGAAAAGCAAAAAAACCCACTTTTATGCCAAGCAACAGCACGAGTATGAATTTTCAACTTTGTGTTTATTAAGCCAGGTTTTTTTTTCTTTAATTAAATTAGAGAAGTTTTAATTTTGTGCTAGTCTCTATACAGTGTTATCACAGGTCACCCTTTTGACTGTTATTTATATAACCATGATCATTAACATAAAGCATTTTGCTTAAATGCAACCAAACTTCTACAAACATAGGCTATGCAAGGTATTTCAGACTATTTTAACTGCACAGAAAGTTTACAGCATTGAGGTCCTAGACAAAGGAAGGCTGCGAGAGATGAAATGGCCAGAGGGACCACCATTTTCACCTCCTCTGACTTCCTGCAAAACAAAGGCCACAAGACTTCCTGAATTAATTTCTTTTCAAGCTAGAACAGCATCTTTTAGGCAAACGTGCAGCCAAGTGACAGCCAATCCACCAGATCTGCTAAAAGAATTTAAAAGTGTTCATTTCATAGATTAAAAAATAATGACTGTACTTGCAAATTAACCAGTGGTTGGCTGTATATTACAAAGGACTTCTTGTGGCTCTCTTGCTCTCAGCCATGGCAGAGAAATGGAATGACAACTTTAAATGCAAAATAGCATTCAGTGGTAACTGCTGCCCTGAACCTACTCTTGAAATCCCGAGCAGGGAGGCAGCGGAGCGTTTCAGTCAGATGACTGAGGCAGGTAATACCCTCAGCTGTCCAACCTGTCCCTCAGACATACCTCACCGTTGCCACAAATGGAAGGTTTCGATGTATAGTGCAACTCTTTTGGTGTACGAAGGCAAAGAGCCAGCTGTGGCAGACGTGGAGCACCTTTAGGGGCCGTTAGGTTATGCTCAGCCTGGGGTCTGTAATGGCAAACTGCCCCAAGGAGAGCATTGGAGACGGGGGTACCTGCTCCACACCACAGGTTTGGTCCATCGGTGGAGCAGAGCCAGGGTACTTAAGAACCCCACAGCTAAGAAAATATTTGGACTTCCCTTACTGTTGCTTTGATGTTCTCCCACCAGAAGCAGTTCCTTTCCTCCCCTTCCCTCTGCTGTCTCCATAACGTTTCAGCTCCGCAGAATACTTTTTGATCATTTATTTCTGCCCTTCTGTAGATCGTTCAAGTTGGTTTTGTTACCAAAGAAACTGCTCCAGCCCTCAGTCCCAGTGCTCCCAGTCTCAGTCCCAGCACACGCCTCCTTCTCCCTCTTCATGTCAGAGCACTCTGGATCTTAACCTATATTTTCAGAGGAAACATCTTCACCCAAAAATGTGAAATCTAAATTCTGCTTATTTCAACAAAGTTCTTATTAAAAAATTCATTACAGGTCACTTTAAAATTTTCCACATTTAGGCCAAAGTCATGGAACTGCTCTGCTTAATCTTGTCCAGTACTTCATAATAACATCTTGTTTTCAGTTGCTTGTAACTGTTTGGGCTGGTATTTTCCAAGCCAACCATCTGCCCCAGGTTTAATTTTTGGCAGTTTCCAGCTAAACCACTGTAGTCGTTTTCAAGAACAAGGTTAAAAAAATATTTTGCCCATATTAAAAAATAATAATCTGGTTGCTTCATTCAGAAGTGCCAGTATCCCTACTTCTCTACAGAACGAATTTGAAATGGAACACCTTCACTGGTCTAGTTTCATCCATGTACCTTCTGAGCAGTAACTTGGAATCTGGCAGCACAATCGCTGTGGTTTCACAGATGTGCATCCAAATGTAACAAAGTTATAAGACTCCATAAAATCTCAGTTTGCACGTGATCGGTTAAGAATTGTTAGCTTCTGGCAGCTAAATTTTCCAAAGATCAGCCTGTGCTGACAGAGCCCGTCCTGCCTTTGGCTGCTCTATGGCCTGCAGGCATCATGTACAGCTCTCTCGCAGAGCAACCGAGTATGCTCTTTGCAGTGGGGACCAAGCAGTGTTTCTCCACAATCTCTGCTCCTGCCTTCCTAAGAGATCACCATCTGGGAGATCTTGGTACCCCTCCTGTGTGCATCATCTCCCTTTCTTCTGGTACTGCGGAGGGAGGCAGTGAGAAGATGAGGATGGATCATGAAGATGGAAGAGTTTGGGAAGGGGCCTGTAACCAGCAGAGCACGAGAGGGAGGGGGAGATGAAGGCAGTAGATGCAAGGGAGACAACTATTGTTGACCAGTACTAGGACTTCTAGGACATCATGGGCAGAAATCAGTTGTGAAAGCAGTTTGATGAGTCTTCATGACTAGGAGAGAAAAAAGATGAAGACATCTGGAGTACCACATCCAGCTCTGGAGCCTCCAATAAGAAGGACATGGACCTGTTGGAGCAAGTCCAGAGGAGGGCCATGAAGATAACCAAAGGAATGGAGCACCTCTGCTATGAAGACAGGCTAAGAGAGTTGGGGTTGTTCAGCCTGGAGAAGAGAAGGTTCCAGAGGGACCTTCTAGCAGCCTTCCAGTACCTAAAGGAGGCTTACAGGAGAGAAGGGGAGGAACTTTTTATCAGGGAGTGGAGCGATAGGACAAATGGTAATGGCTTCAAACTGAAAGGGGAGATTTAGATTAGATATCAGGAGGAAATTCGTTACTGTGAGGGTGGTGAGGCACTGGAACAGGTTGCCCAGAGAAGCTGTGGATGCCCCATCCCTGGAGGTGTTCAAGGCCAGGTTGGATGGGGCTTTGAGCAACCTGGTCTGGTGGGAGGGGGGTTGGAACTCAGTGATCTTTAAGGCACCTTCCAACCCCAACCATTCCACGATTCTGTAATGAGATTCTGCCAGGCAGTGGGGAAACGGTATGATATATGAGGTAAGGAGGTTAATAAGCATAATTGATATAAAGATAAGATGCCAGGGGAAATAATTAAGAAAAAAATAAAAGGATGGATGTGCAGATAAAGGAAACTAGGAGGTGAAAATAGAGCGTGACAAGTGCAAGAAGGCAGGAGTCAGGGGTTGGAGGGATGGAGAGCAAGAGCTGGGAGTTACCTCAAAACAGCACAGAGAAAGAGGAGGCAGGAGCCAGGCGGAGGGAGGATCAGTTGAGAGCATCAAGGGAGAGGAGGAGTGTGAGTGCAGAGTGAACTCTCAGAACAGGCTGTTTTTTTGAGTCGGACATCAATGCAAATTGTGATTTATCTGTAATGATATAGGAGTAGGAGTTGGGTATGGCTAGCAGCTGTAGCCACGCTTTTCTTTCTTGGTAGAGAGCTTCTTTATCAAGGATTCTAGATCTTTTGGGCCAGTGCTCCAGAGTTAAGGTGACCGCATGTTGCTGTTTATTTTTCAGGCTTCCTCTGACTTTATTAAACAAAAACATTTGAAGTGCCTAAAGTGCCATATGCTGCTTTTTTAACCACAGCAAAAAAAATATTTCTCCAAAATACATTTTAAAAAATATTTGAAGTAATTTTAAAATTATAGGTAGGGCTGCCAGCAATGCCTCTCACTGGCAGAGCAACGCCAGGCCCTGTGCCAAGCTCGGTGGCCTTTTGCTGGGGGTGTTTGTCATCTAAGAGGGCTTGCACCATCACCACAGTCATTAGGCAGGCTTCATCACAGGGATGAGCAGTGCTGCCTTGGCAGTTTTTTTTTCTCCTACCAGCTGGAGACATGGGAAGAGAGAGGCAGGGAGGGCTGAGTGTGCCGGGTGGCCACTGTGTGCCCACGGGCAGAGCAGAAATGGAGGTCTCTCAAGCAGGAGACAGGGGGTGCAGCAGCTGGAGCAGGAGGTGTCCTGCCCCATGGTACTGTTAGAGCTGCAGAGACACCAGAGTTACACTCTTCCAGTTTTAAAATAGGGGGGAAATGGTGATATTTGCCTCTAACGTGATGATGGAGCTTGCAAGCTGGAATTTCTTTAAGATAAGTGGCAAAGGCTTCCCCACAAGCAGCACGTTTGGTCTGTCATGTCCTCTGTCAGCTGGGAGGCAAGCTTTGCAGGGCTGAGCTGCTTTACTTTCCTTTTGAGAATGAAAGTAGCACTGCTGTCAGAGATTAAGTTGTTGGTGTGTATCAGGTGATGGGAAAAATCACTCTGAAACTGCAAATGCTCTGACGTACATTTATTTTTACATACTTGGGAGTTGCAAGTGTTGATTTGCTGTCTCTTCATCTGTCTGACAGACTGATAGCTTAGAAATACAAATTACACTCCTAATAACAACTCCTAGGGGTAAGGCTGCTGTTAACTACTTGGTCCCTCCTAAAGATTAAGCAGAGGAGCTCAGAGCTGATACACTGACCTATAGCTTCTGGAAGCAGCTCCCCCATCGAAATTCTGACCTACGTCCCAGCTAAAAATGCGTTCAGTCTTTTCTTAATTTGTAATAGATACTTGTGTACATTACAAAACCATCTCGCAATTTGGCAAATTAAGTTGTCTGTGGTTAGCTGTGGAATTGCAGAGATATTGCAGTGCAGTGCAGCATTGCATAACGAGCTCCCCCAGACTTTGCCTTACTCGAGTGAGTAACAGCAGCCCTTATCTCCAGCCAGCATCGGATTCATCCCATTTTTGAGAAAAGGATTGGTATCAAATATACGATGGGCATGTTATGCCTTGTGGCTGCAATGTTTTTTCAATTAACTTCTGTGAATATACCACAATGAAAAGTGTCAGCTTTTTGCCTCAGAGGCCTATAATTAGATTAAATGAATACAGTTAATTATCTACTATCTTCTTTACACAAAACAATATGTTTCTATAAATTAAAATGCTCGTACAGGAAGGAAATTGTTGTTCACTCCAATATATGTATATAGTGCTGGAATACTGGGAATGTGTCACAGTGTAGCACAGCTTTTTGTCTGCAGCCCTTATTTTACAGGAGCTAAAACAAATTACATCTGAAAAATCCACATACACCACACTATTTAGAGCATGTATGTTGGTGCAAGCTGGTGATATTAGTAAAAGCTGCAGTGCTCATGAAACAAATATACTTTTCTCTTTAGCAGATGTTCTCTATAAAATTCCTTTAAAGAGATTAAATACAGCTTTGTTTGTGTACCTACAGTCACACCCTCAGGGACTATGGTATGTCCAGATACAAAGCTGTTTTTTTCTAGCAGACTGTACCTCTCCTTTCAGAATATTAAAAAAAAAAAAAAAAAAAAAAACAAAAACAAACAAACAAAATAAAACCCCAAAAAATGTTCTGTAGGAAGTATTTACAATTGTCAGCTCGGTTCCCAGGCCTGCTGGTATTCCAGCTAGTGGAGACTGAAAATCTTCTCTGCCTGTTCTCCAGTGTTACTAAATACAAGCAAAAGTTCAGGAGGGATCAATATGCTCCCATCCTGGCATCCCTGATTCAGGGGGATGCTCAAAGAGGGGGACATCACCTCGGTGGTTACATATCTGAAGCAGAAAGCACTCGTTCTGATTCGATAGAGTGCATCCAAATGTCCTTATTTCCATCAGAATAGATGTTAATAACTTAAGGCCTAAACATTCGATCCTCCCTCACCAGAAAATTACAGTTAACTTTAGCAGAAGCCCTCCTCCCGGCCTGCAGCACACTCTGCATAGAAATGCCATGTGTGCCCAGGGTTGGTCCTGGGTTTCGTTAGGGTCAAACCCCGAGAAGCTTTTGCATCCTCGGTGTTCCTGCAGGACACCGCATCGTGCTGTGGTGGGTGCCCTGTGAGGATCTTTTCCTCTAAACGTTCATTAGCTCCCTGTATCAAAGCGTTCATTAAAAAAATCATTGTGTGGGTAATAATCTTAATCCTGAGGAGTGAGGAGGGCTGTGTTGCCATGTAAATGCTGCCCAGTTTCCTGCTCTCGGGGTGTAACAGGAGAAGAGAAAGACCATCTTGATAGGCACTATCTGCTGAAGGAAAACTTTCACCAGGAGCTGTGAATTGACTTTAACCTTTTAGTGGCTGCACTGAGAAGCAAAATTTTTCCTGCTTCCTACCCAGAATGAAGATTTTCGTTTAAAATGCTGATAAACCACCAGTAGCCCTCCTGATTACTTCTACAAATACCAGAAAGCAGTTACAGAGGAACAAAGAAATGCAACTGGAAACATGGTTCAGTGGTCTTGTACTTCCCTGAAAAGCTGATTATACTTTTGGCTGATTCAGTTTCTTTCAGAGGGAATTTACCCTTTTTGGCAGTTTGAGTTTCAGCAGCGCTGATTGGACTAACGGCAGAAAATGTGTCTTGGGCTGAGGAAATTAACTCAGGGTCCTCTGTGTGTCAAACTGAATTTTGCCAGCGAGCTCTAGATTTTGTCTTGCAGCCCCTCGGTGTCCCTCGTTTTGTAGGATTCAGAAGCCATTTTAGTGCTAGTTTAAAAATAGAGACATTTCACTTATGCTTTTGCAGGTGCCTTGCCCAATTCCCCGCTTTCCCTCTGCAATTTATCTTTTGGGATAAGCACTAATGAAAGGTCAAGGTTATTCTAAAGAATCCAACATAGGAGTTCTCTTCCTCGTAGTTCCTGAAGATTAACTTTGCACAATTCTAGCTGATCCCGTGCTCAAAGGTAATTCAAACATTCTGGGAAATGGCACAAAATGACAAGCAGTAACCTTTGGTGCTGGAAAACCTCCCTGGTGATTTGTATTTAGTGCTTCTTCAAAATGCGAGGAGCCATCTTACCATTCGGTGCCATGGCAGAAGTTAATTTATTATTTTTATTTTTTTTTTGGTGTGGGGCTCTGTAAATGAGGTCTGCAAGAGCAAGGCTTGGCACATCTGGCTGTGAGAGATGTGCCTCGCACTTTACATCCGAAGATAATTTCCTCGCCTCTGTGCCACAGAAACCAAACAGCGTGGAGCGTGGATTTATTATTTCCCCCCCCCACTCCCTCCCTCCCTCTTTCCCCTGGCTGCAATTTTCAAATGTAGCAGAAGGTCATAAAAAGCTCGGGCAGGGAGATACACCTTGCTTCCCTTTTTTAAAAAAAAATTTATTTTGTTTTTTTAAGGAAACCTGGAGACAAACCTGCCTCTTTTTTTTTTTTTGGCTTCTGGGAGAAGATTCTCCTGCATCCCT